TGCCAGGCATCGCTTCCAGGTTGGAGGCCATCGCTATTAGGTTGGAGACCATCGCTGCCAGGCATCGCTTCCATGGTTGGAGGCCATCGCTGCCAGGCATCGCTTCCATGGTTGGAGGCCATCGCAGCTTGGAGGCCATCGCTGCCAGGCATCGCTTCCAGGTTGGAGGGAGGCCATCCCTACTATGAGGGTCTTTATAAGTTGTGGCTGTTATAAGTTAACTTATAAGCTAAGTATAAGTGCACGTACGGAAGTTATATGTTGACTTATAACTTCCACAAGTTCCGCAAGTACTACCTGCAGTTACGGTACTTCGTAAGTTCAACTTGGTAAGTTCCGCGGAAGTAAGTTGCGTCACCTACACTGCACACACGCGCTACTTACAAAAACATTGAAATGTGAACTTATATAGACCCACTCATATATAGCATGTACACGCATGCAGCAGCGTCAATCCGGCTCAAAACGCGCGCTCAAACCGCACTCGAGCAAGACTTTTGGCATGAGTGGTTGCAGTTGGGAACCTTGTTTGAAAGCAATGGAGCAGGCTCTGAAGATTTTGGAACCCAGCCAACAGGAAATCAGGCGGGTGCATTTGAGCTCGCTAGCAGACCATTTGTCTCGCGCGGGAGTGCCTCCGGAGGAGGAGGCGAGCCTGATAGAAGCTTTAGACTTCTGCACCCAGGAAGAAAAAGAGAAGTTGCTGGCTGCTTGCAAGAAGTCGGCCCAGACGACAACGAAACGCAGAGCGTCACAGTGTTACGACAACTTCCCGTGTTACTTACCCGCCAAAATGTGGGAGGTTCTTCCATTGTTGCAGAACGGAAATCGTATGGAGGAGATTTTGCTGTTTCTCTTCAGATCTCTTTGGCTACGTTGCCCGGGTGAGCAAACGTTGGCCAAGGTAGTAGCTGTATGCGTGGCCGTAGACGGCGGTGTCGCAAGCAGCTTTCACTTGCACGAGTTGATGGAGCAAGCTCGCTCCATCTGGAAGGGCATTACTTCAAAATACCGGTCTGAAAGTGAAGTGCCTGAGTTTTTGCTGACCTTGCCTTCCAGAAAGCAAGATTTACCTGACAAGATGAAAGAGCTCGTGGGATCGGCTTGGGAGGACAACATGGAGATTCCTTTTTCCGCCCACGACTTGGACAACCTCGCCAGACGAGTGCCCCTGAGGAAGACCAATATGGGGGCATGCAAAAAGTCAACCGCCTTCGCGAGCAGCGCGTCTCAATATATGTATGCGAATCCTGCGGGCTTTCAGTGTACTTGGCCTACGGGCAGAGATCCGCGACAGGCTGGGCCACTGACAAACCTCGTCATCTTTCCACCGAGAAGCAGGGAAGAGCCGAGACGAGCGCTATCCTGGTCCGAACCTGCTGCCAACGCACCGTCTGCGGCAGGTCAGCCAAGGCTTGCGCTTCCCGCGCCGGAGGCCAGCGTGCCTAGGCCAGAGAGCTTAGCAGAGAGGAGCGCAGCTGCGCTATCTTCAGCAGAGAATTTGGAGTCGCAAGACTCGGAGACAAAAGCGCTGCCGCCCAGTCTCATCACACTACCTACAGAGCCGACGCAGACCAAGGAGGAGGAGGGGAAAATGGAAGTGAAGAGGTCAGTCAAGCCGGAGGAAAAAAAAACAACACAAAGCCGGAAACAGTTCGCGCGGAAATGACAGAGGCTTTGCGTGCGAAAAAGGCAAAGGCCGCTGCGGCGAGCCGAGCGAAAACACAGGCCACAGGAGAGCTGAAAGCGCAGGCCAAAGGAAAGGCGAAAGCGCAGGCCAAAGGAAAAGCAAAAGCAAAGGCCATGAAGAGGCCCGCAGCCAGGAACCCCTCAGCCGAACGCGCTGCGGAGACATCTCCATGCCCACCACCCAAGAGGAAGAAAGTGGACGCTGCCGACCTGGCAACGCTGGAGACCCGGAATCCGCGCACTCACTTTGCGGCACGGGCAATGTATTTTTCCACAGTAGTGTGCACGGTCAATGCAAAGGAGAATTCTACAAGGCCAAATCCTATTTGCGTTACTGGCAGGACAGCGACAAAAAGTGGAAAATGATCGTTGGCGCGAGGAACTCTGTCGACGGCTCATACCTCTGGTTCGGGCAGGGGCGGAGAGGCAAGAGTTAGTGAAGCAGCGCGACGCTTGGGATGTGTGAGAACGGAGACGCGGCGCAGACCGTTGCCTTTGACCTGAGGGTCTATAAAATCTGTTTGGAACTTTGGCTGGGGATAGCTTTCCTGCGAAAGCTTGCCTCTGCTTTCGGACAGACCCAGGCACCTCGCGAGGCGACAGTGGTTGTTATAAAAGGGCTCTTTTCATACCCGCAACTGCTATGAAGGGGCCTCAGGGCCTTCATTGTAGACCCCACAAACTGGGGTCTAGAATAGAGTTCTCAGGAGTCCCACGTAAGAATGGGCAAGGGCTCTAGACCCCCCCCCTGGGACCAGCAACCCTAGGTCTAGAATGGAGTTCTCCACAATATGTTAAATTGGAAAAGTACATACAAAAAGTTGAGTTCAGAAGTCATCAAAAACAAAACCAGAACTTGCGCGTCAAGCGAGGATGAGGATAACTGGAAACATCTAAAATCTATCAAAATCTTTGACCTGGGGAATGTCTCTTGCGCAGCCCACACGCTCCCGCCAACTGCCTGCCCCAGTGGTGCATAGAATCTTTCTCGCTCTCTCACTCGACGGTTCGATCCAGAAGGTTCCTGTCAGCAGTTTTCTGCCAACCTTCCAGTGTTGACCTTCCACAAGGCCAGCACTCTGACCCCACTGGCCTTCCCACAGCCAGAAAAAACGCGACGTGACCTTATGTTCCACAAGGTCCTCACTCGGAAGCGCCCTCGCTTTCTTCGGCGTCGGCGCCCCTGCTCTGCAAGTCTTCGCAGCGCGCAATCTGGGCGATGAGGGTGTTCATCGCCTTGGGTGTTCATCGCCTTGCAGCTTCCATCTTTCATCGAGCGATGCACCTGGGATCGTGTCTGCAAATTGGCCGGCCGAAAGCTGAGCTGACCCAAAATTGATTTCCTGCTTGAAGGGGAGCCTCACAAAAACATGGAAAACAAAGTAAAAACCTGGGACCCCCAAAAATGGAACTGCGTGAAACTACATGAAACGACCGCAAAGTATCTGACGACAGCCATTCCTGGACTTTTGCGCCGTATGCCAGCTTCTGCCTAATCTGACCGAAGAAGGCACTGAAGAACCCCGGGCTCTTCTCAAGCAACGTCTGCATGGCGATGGATTCTGTTTTGCCTGCGTGGGTGAATCGCACATGGTTGTTGTCGATGGTCTTCATGACCTTCCCCGGAAAGAGGCGAGCCTGTTCTTCAACCAACTTATGCATCTCTTGGACGATCAACTTTGCCCCGGCTTTCGTCCGCTTGAAGTTCTCCGCTTTCGGGACGATGTACTTTGCCGTGCGTTGGCGCTTCGCCGGCTGCGGCCCCCCCCGCCGGCTCAGCGTCTAAGGCTGCCAGCGCACGACGGCTCGCCTGGAAATTCGGTGCAACTTTTGTGCCGCTTTATCGACGCAAGCCACCGAACAAAACCACCCCCCCCAAAAAAACAACAGACACGACGCAACAGCAAAAAGCTGCAGTCCTCTGGAAAGATCACCTGCAACCCGTCCAGCCCAGTCTTTTTGGGCACATCTTCACCATCTAGCCGCACTCCGATTTGCTCCATAGGAACCACGATCAAGATGCTGTCGGCATCACAAGCCTCAGGGCGACACAGAGGTTTAGAATTCAAGGCTGTGACTTGGAGAGGAGACACCACAAACCTTTCACCCACAAACATACCAAAAGCCCCTTCGACCCCCTGCAAAAAGTGATGTTGCTTTGGTTCATTGAGGATATTTGGTTAGTCAAGGGGGTCTGGAATGAAGTTCTCAGGGTGGTAAGGGCTTCAAAACATCTCCCCCCTTCTCAGCAAACCATTTCAGACCTGCAACCAAGGATGAAGAGTGATAGGTGTGTGTAAGTATAGGTTATATCAAGGGCAAGTCCAAATATTCGGTTAATGAAGAGGGTCTGGAATGATGTTCTCAGGGTGGTAAGAGCTTCAAAGCACCTTTGACTTTTCAGCAAACCATTTCAGACCCACATCCAAAGACGAAGAGTGGCAGGAGATATGTATGTATTTTAGGTGTTTGTGTATATACCTAAGGTGTACAGAAGGAAAATCAAGTTATTCGATTAAGGGGGTCTGGAATGAAGTTCTCAGGGTGGTAGGAGCTTCAAAACATCTTCCACTTGTCAGCAAACCATTTCAGACCCGTATCCAAAGACAAAGAATGGAAGGACATATGTATTTTAGGTGTCTGTGTATGTTAATGAAGGGGGTCTGGAATGAAGTTCTCAGGGTGGTAAGAGTTTCAAAACATCTTCCACTTCTCAGCAAACCATTTCAGACCCACATACAATGATGAAGGGTAGAGCTAGAACACAACAAAAGTACCTTAAATGTGGTGGAAAATGTCCTTTTCAAGCAAGAAGCATAGTGGCCTTCCTTGTCACCATCAACCTTGCGCATCAAAGCAACACGGGCTGAGTGAAGGGAACCTTTGCTCACCTCACGAGGGCAAAGTTGCGCTCCAGTACTTCTTTTGTAGCATCGCCACGTGGACATCACAAGGGCCACATGCCACGCTTT